ATCCATCCATCCATCCATCCATCCATCCATCCATCCATCCTTCCATCCATCCATCTGCCCATCCGTCCATCCGTCTGTCCATCTGTTCATTCATCCATCCACAATTCTGATTCTGAGGTCCTTGCTCCTGGTCATAGCGTAGAGACTCCGGTCTCTGCCCTGGAACTGAGTAGGATTCTCCCTCATGTTCCCTTCCCTGGCTCCATTGAGCCAGGTGATCTCCAGTGCACCTTTCAAACTTAATTGTCCCTTAGTTCTCTGCTCCCTCCTCCCTGCATGGCTCCTGAGCTCACCCCACACTCATGCTGTCTCTCTCTGCCTCTTCCAGTGGGACCCGACGTCCCGACCTGCTGCACTTCTTACATAAAACACAAGATCCCACGGAACCTCATCCGCAGTCACTACAGCAGCAGCACCAGCTGCTCGCAGCCAGCCATCATGTAGGTACCGATGTGGACGTGGTGTGGGTGTGTGGGGTCGGCCGAGGGCTGCGGGTCAGAGAGAGGAGGCTGCGGGTGTGCTGCGCACAAGGCAGGGGGAACCAAGGGGAAAGGGCTGACACGGGGACTGCCGGGATGCTCCTGCAAGGGTGGCCAGGGATGCTCTTTGGGGACTCCCAGGGGTGTTCCTGCAGGAATTGATGTGGGAGAAGAATGGGAGTGGTGGAATTGTGGGGAACGCAGCATCAGCTTGGGGATGGTGGAGAACCTCTTGTGAACCCCAAACCCAGGCTCCTGCTCTGAGCAGTGATCTCAGTGTCTCACCTCTGTCTCATCCCACAGCTTTGTCACAAAGAAGCACGAGGTCTGTGCCAACCCCAGCAACCCCTGGGTACAGAGCTACCTGCGGAGCGCCAAGCGGGACTGAGCGGAGCCAGGCAGAATGGGACACTGCTGCCATGCCAGCCACATCACCACGAGCTCCTGACATGGAGCATGGCTTCAGGACGGCTGCATGAGCCCACGTCTCCTGCTTGCAGCTCCCAGGGACTGCAGGATGGGGACTACAGACATCTCATGTCGGTGCTGTTAGCACAGCCCACTCTGCAGCCCCAGCAGCACGTAGCTCGACACCTCTGCCTGCCTGCAGACTAGAAAGGCCCACGGCGCATCTACTGTTCCTAAGTTATTTAAAATTATTTAAGAAATTACAGTAAGAGATAGACAGTATTCTCATATCTGGATCGTATTTATGGTAGAGTGGCAGGGAGGGTATTTAAGGGAGGGTGGCCCAGAGTCTCCTCTTCAAAGGAGGGGTGGCTCCGGCTCACTTGTATGAAGGTGTTGTGGAGAATAAAGAATGTGGATAAAACCTCTGCTTTTTTGTCCCTTGATGTCCTTTACACCATCACAGAGACAAACTCACCGCTAGCCCATCAGCACACCCTACACGGCATGTGATGATGGGAAGTGGTTTGAGATAAGCCCATGAAGTTTCCACACTACAGACATATGAATATCCTCTGACTCTGTTTCCCCACCACATCCCCTATGAACTAGACAGACAAGGAGGGGCTCCTCATGCACCCCAGCTCAGTGCCTGGCTCCCCAGTGGGCACTATGTGTGTGATGGGATGGGATGGGTATGGGCACATTACAAAGGGCACAAACAGGGGGAGCTGCTGTAGGGCTGCAGATGGGAGCCAGCCCTGCTCCACATCCAGCACCAGGCACAGGGCACACGGGTGGCTCATGTGTGGCTTTGCAATAGGAGCAAGCGGGTTGCAAGGGAGCATGCTCGCATCATGCTCAGCATACTGAGGTGCTCCCACAGCCTCGTGTCTGCACATCTGTTCTGTTCAGACAGCATTTCTTCTCCCTAATGCAAAACACATTTCTCCTATTGTTTAATATTTTTAATCCACAGCTTATAGCTCAAACTTGGCAGCTCCAGACCTGGGAAAGCACCTCGCAGCTGCCTCATGATTTCCATCCAGCTCTGTGTTTTCCCGGCAGCAGCGCTGACTGCAGGCAGGAAGGCTTCAGGGCCCTGAGCAGCAGCAGGACGGGTTCCCATATGCCAGGCTGGGGGAATGGGGAAAGGCCTAGGCTCTGCTCAGCCCTGCCACAGTCCCAGCACTGCACTGAGGGCATGGCAGAAAGGGGCAATTCTCAGCACGGCTGGGTAGGTCAGCAAAAAGTCTGTCCTGTGCTAGGGCCCGTGTCTGCTTAAGCTGGGGGATAATCATGGGGGGAAGAGTCTGCTTAAAGGGCTGTCTTGAACTGGGATCATAGAATCAGTAAGGTTGGAAAAGACTTCTAAGATCACCAAATCCAAACCCAGACCACCCCCACCATGCCCATAACCACAGCCCTCAGTGCCACATCCCCACAGCTCTGGAAAACCTACAGGCACAAGGACACTTCCCTGGGCAGCTGTGCCACAGCATCACTGCTCTTTTGGAGAAGAAATTTTTCCTAATGTTCAACCTGAACCTCCCCTGGTGCACTGTGAGGCCACCATCTCTCCATCGCTGTCATCTGGGAGCAGAGCCCAACCCCCCCATTGCCACCTCCTTTCAGGCAGTTGTAGGAGCATCTCCCCAGGCAGAGGAGGTCTCCCCTGAGCCTCCACACTGACCTCTCCCCTGAGCCTCTGCTCCACACTGACGCATCTCAGCTCCCTCAACCTTCTTGGCCCCCTGGGCACGCTGCTGGCTCATGGTCAGTGGGTATCAGCTCACACCCCCACATGCTTTTCCTGCATGCATCTTTCCAGCCATTCTGCCCCAGGCCCATAGCACTGCATGGGGCAGTTGTGACCCAAGTGCAGGACCTGGCACTTGGTCCTGTTGCAGCTCATCCCGTTGGCCTCTGCTCACTGATCAGCCTGTCCACATCCCTCTGTGGGGCCTTGCTACCCTCAGACAGACCCACTGTTCCCCCCAGGTTGGTGTCTGCAAATTTACTGTGGGTGCACTCCGTTCCCTCATCCAGGAAGAGAGCAGATGGGGCCGAGAGCTGTGGGGTTGTGGTTCTGCTGAACCCAAACCTGCGCTCAGCACCTTTTGCATGGAGAAGAGGTGCCTGGTGCAGGAGGGGGCCTGTGGGCACCCACACAGACCCTGCCCTGAGCTGCTGGGGACAACAAAGGATGGCTGTGCTGGTGGCTGTGTGTGGGGGTTCTGCCCAGGCCCGGCACAGAGGAGGGAACCTGGTGCAGAGCTGGCTGCTCTCGGGGCAGTCCCTGGCCAGCAGCCCATGCAGCCACAGGAATTTCCCACAGCCTCTGCTTTCGTTTTCCTGACTGGAGCTATCGGAGCTTCATCTTACCAGCCCACACTAGGGCTCCTACCAGGGAGATGAGGCAAGCGGGAGCAGTGGGAAATAGGGAGGGTTTGACATCACAGGGTGGTGCTGGAGACCTGGCAGCTGCCTGCTGGCTCAGGGCAGGGCAGAGATTCCACTGTGCCCAGGAGGTGCGGCAGCTGCTCACGGTGCTGAGTCTCAGCACAGCACCAAGCCCTCAGAGCTTACACAGCTGTTCCTTGATTCCATTGACATTCTTTGGGTGAGACAGAGAAAAGGCACAGCCCGGACAAATGCACTGTTCCTGCTCTGTGTGGTCAGCTACGATTCAGTTATCTGTTCTGTTGGAATGCTTTAAGAGTAAACAGAAGGCCACCCAAAGAGCCGAAGCACCTCACTTTTGGGGAGCTTGAACCACATTGGGCTGTCCCCTTTGTGCCAGTGAAGCTCAGAAAAGCTCTGGGGCCGGCAGTGAGCAGCCCCCAAGCAGCCTTGTCCCCTCGTGTTGTTCTTAACTCCATTCTGTATCTCTCCCTTCATCAGCCCCAGGGGCTGCTTGCCCTCACTGCCCTCACCACAAGGACTGGGGACGTGGTTACTTCTGGGAAGCCCTGCTGTATTAGGGCAAGCACATCCTGCCACAGCCGCTTCTTGCAGCTCTTCCTCAGCTGTTGGTTTGAACCCGACCTTACAGCTCAGTGTTTTTGAGTTTTGCCTTTCTGACCTATGTGATGCTGGAGGCATGGCCATATGCTGGCGGCTCTGCATTGCTCACGAAACCTTCCTCCTAAACCTCCTAAAATGGGGGCTTATAGCATCCATTGCTGCTTCTTGGCCTGGTCTGGAGTACCTTAAGAGATGGAGAACCCAGAGCTCTGGGCAGTGCCAGGGCCTCAGTGCTCTCTGCGTGAAGCATTTCCCCTTCAAATCTGACCCCTTTTATTGTGTCACCAGAAAGGAAAACCCAGTGTCCAGCTCCTCCAGGAACTTCAGGGCAACTCCTGAGGAAGTGCAGCAGAACAGGCTGCTCCTTGGTCAGGGAGGGCTATGGCAAGGGGGTGATGAGTGAGGGGAGGGCAGGGGGCAATCCCAGCATCTGCACAGCACCGCAGCACTGCTCAGTTTGGGGTATTAACAGACACTGCTTGCTGTGTGACACACCAGGGATCAGTTGTTGCAGCAGCGGCAGCAGCAGGTCAGGCCATGTCTTTTCATTCTCTACCCACAAAGACATCAGAAAGTTTTAACGCAAACTGTAGCCTGACAAAGTGTGGTTTGGTTCACTGCGCTTTTTCAAAGCAAATTCAGGCTTCCTTCACAAAGCAGCTGCAGCAGAAGATGGGTGCATGTCATCTGCGGCAACTGAGTGAGCACAGCCAAAGTGGAGCCCTGCTCCTGCATGACTGCCACAGAGCCTCAAGGCAAATCCCCAGTGGCCTCAGTCCCTGATGTGATGGGGAGGGCTGGCACAGAGCCCCGGGTTGTGCTGGGAGCTGGGGATGCAGCAGGGATGGGTTTATGGATAAGGAGGGTGAGAGATTCCCAGCTGGGAAGTGGTGTCTATCCATGCCTGTCCAAGGAGCCCTCCCAGCTCTTTTGGCCCAGGAGCAGCGTGGGGCGGGCAGGTGCTGAGCTATGCAGCAGGACGGTCCCACAGAGCCTACTCAGCACCCTGCCCTTCCTGGGGGCTGGTGGGAGGGGATGCAGCCAGAGCTTAGACACAGAGATAGAAAACTTTATTCTTTGGGACCAGCAAGACACAGCGTTTTGAGCACAAGTGTGGTTCCAGAATGAGCATCCCATAAATATCCAGTGTACTGTTTCCTCCCTTAGGGAAGGATCTCCTTCACAGCATCTCATTCACAGCTCCTGCAGCACAGCAAGACACAGCCAGCTGGCCTGGAGGTCAGCCTGCATTATGTGACAGCACACACACCTCGTTCTGACAGACTGCATCCCACAGGTGGCTCTTAGGGTAAGGTCCCCTCCTGCTCCAGCAGCAGAGGCACAGGAGGAGACGACATTTGCACAGCAGCCTGCACCAAGCAGACCTGAAAGGCCAAGAGGCACGTCCCCAGCATCTCAGCTGCATGGTAGGGTGGCTAAATTGTATAGTATAGATGATGCTGTTGCAAGACAAAAAGAAGCTCAGGGACCCTGGGGTGTCTGTTGGCCCTGGTGCTCAGCAGTGGGGTTTCTAGGACCACGCCATGACTTTGCTGCACAGACTCACTGGGCTCTCCAGGGCAGACACCTCGGGTCCTGGTGCTCACTGCAGCTCCAGGAAGTTGATGTATTCCTTCACCCACCGGGCGTCAGGGTTCGCGCAGACCTGCCGCCCCTTCCTGGTGGTGAACCTGTGGAGCAGGGAGGTGTCAGCCCCAGAGCCAGCTGTCGGCACCCACCATCCTGTTCTGTGACCAGCATTGGCTCCTACAGGGGTCACTTACCCTCCCACAAATCCCCAAGCTCCAGAGGAACCCAGGCACCACAGAGAGCTCAGGGACCCTGGGAGAACCTGCATGCTACAAGCTGTCTTCACGGGACATCCTTCCCAAGCCTTGTCCCAGGCACCAGGGTGGGCTCATTTCTCAACTGAAGAGAATGAGAGCCCATGCTGCATGTGGGACCTGTGGTGGCTGCCCCTTCCCCTGGCTCCAGGCACCGTCCCTCACACCACCAGCCCCTTGTTCCCAGTGAAAAGCAATTCTCCCCTTGAGCCCAGAGCTGGATCTGGTACTTACACAACTGCTGGCTGTGGGCACTTGCTGCTGGTGTAGAAATACTCCTTCACATGATTCTGGGGCAGCTTCCGTACTCTATAGCTGAAGCAGCACACAGTTGTGTCAGCCCCAACTGGAAGAGAAGAAGGCCGATATGAGTCCACCATGAGTCCGCCACAATGTGCTGCCCATAGCAGCATGGACAGCCATCCCTTAGGCAGCTACTCTCATTCAATCTCCCCAGAAAGTCATCAATAAATGGGTGTGAGCACCAAAGAGTAATGGAGGTCACTGCTGGGGGTGTCTTAGTAGAGCTTTTGCAGTCTTCTTTTCCTCAGTGCTGGTGACGAAAGTCCCCTCACTCATCCTAGGACCAGCCCTAAAGCCCAGCAACACTGGAGGTATGAATCCTGAAAACTTCAATGCTTGCAAGGTAAAATTTATCATTGCCTCCCTGGGAGAAAAGGAGAAAGAAAGGAAAACCTGTCCAAAGAAAGCATGAAAATCTTCCAACCTTTGAACCTTGTTGTTTCCATCTGTTTCAATATAACTGCCCGCCAAAGTGAAAAACTCCCACGTCAGGAGAGAAGAGAGGAGGAATGCTGTACTCACATGGAGATGAAGAGGTCTGAGGGAAGAGGGCAGCAATCAGGAGGATGGAGAAAGGCACAGCTACGGTGGTCATCATGGGCAGAGCTGAGCTGCAGAGGCAGGAGCAGAGCAGAATCCTCCCAGGCTTGGTGTGGAGTGGCTGGGATGCTCCTCGCTTTTTATCAGGCTGGTGGCCAGTCAGATTTCAAGGGGAAATTTTAGGGTTTCCAAAGTGTAACTGATGTCATGGCACCTTTGCCTCAGAAAGGCTGAAAAAAAAAAAAAGAAGAAAAAAAAAAAGGAAGAAACAGGTTTAGGAAATACCAAAATAGCCGGTGTGTGAGGTGGGGTAAGTCTGAACAGATCAGCACCCAACCAGGGGCGACACTGATCAAGACAGGATGTGAAGCAGTCTTTGAGCCTCGGGTTCACACTTAACTTCACCAAGGTACCAGCAATCCCCTGCATCTCAGCACAGACCAGGAGGATGCTAACTCCATCTCATGCTAAGGTCCTAAGCCTTGAGGACAAAGGTGCTCAGTCCTTCAAAATGGCTTGGGAGCAGCCAGAGAGCCCTGGGTTCCGTGGTGGGTCTGGGCACAGCCAAGAAGGGCTTTCCCTGGGAAGCCCGCCTAGATGCTCTGAGTACCATCTTGTGACAGAGATGTGGAGCCAACTCAGCACAGGGTGGGATGCAGGAGGCTGAGCCCAGGAGCTCCTCTTGTGCCAGAACCACGACCTATGCGCATGCACACAGTCACGGGGCTCCTTGCCACGAGGTGATGGGCTCCCCAGGATGCACAGGGAGCATTTCCCCTTTCTTACCTCCTCTTCTCTTCAGCAGCACCACGTTTGCCAGCTCACAGCTGTGGTTGCTCAGTCATGTCCAGCTCACGAGGCACCATGAGCTCCTTTCCCTGCAGTTTTGTGGCTTCCCACAGCCCCTCTGTCATGATGTGGGAAGTGGCAGGAGCTGCTGCTCTGCTCCTGTGGCAGCATCCCCTCCACCACCACGTGTCCATGGGAGGGGAGGACAAGCAGTGCTGCAGGAACTTTCCCAAACCACTCTTGTGAAGTTGGAGGGGGGACTCCAAGTTTAATATTGCAATTAGCGAATTGTTCTGACTCTTTCTGAGGGCTGCTTCGAAAGTAATGCCTCCTGTTTTATGGTGTCAGCCCACGACATCAGAGGTGGATGCTGGTGGTACAGCAGTAAAGGTTGAACCTTCTCACCAGCGCCCCATTTTGTGCTGCTGCTGTGTGACAGCTGGCAGCAGAGGGGCAGTCTGACAGAATGGTGTCTGACACAGAAGGGTGGATGGAGCAAAGTGTGTCACTGAACTCCTCCATGCAGAAACAGTGGCACCCACTGACATTCATTGATGCTTGTTGGATGTTGATGAGACCAACCAGTGTATGTGAGCACAGTGAAAGTTGCACTGCATGGACAAAGTTTTCCTAGCAGTAATGCTTTCATAGCAACTGTGAAACAAAGGGTTGCCTCCATGTGTGTAGATTTGTTCCAGCACAGCATGCAGGTTCATGCTCATCACTGGTGAAAATGCACAGCTAATGGTGGTAACTATGTCAAAAATAGTGTTTTGTACCAGAGAATTTGCTCCACCAAATAGTGTTACTGTACTCTTTGTATCAGTTGTTGTTTCCACGGCAATAAATAGGAGGCATTACTTTCAGAGAGGCCTACTTATGAATTTATTGCTTACATCATAGATCCATGTAGGGGTGCAAAGCAAGACTATGCATCTCAGCTTTGTCTCCTCTCTGCAATTGTGACTGTACTTTGCCCTCAGTCCTGACCCATATCCACCAAACAAAGGCTGACCCTGGGACTGGGACTTCTTTCAAGGAGCTGTTCTTGTAGAAAATGAATATTTGTACCCTCCCCAGATGCACAACACACACTGCCCTGCACACTGCTGGCTCTTTCCCCTGCATTCATGGCAGGCAATCACCCACCCCCCTGTCCTCATCCAGTACAGACGCCATATGCCCACTATAGGTCGTGCAAGTGAACCCACTCCTGCCAGCAGAGCTCTGGGAGCCGTTACTGCCTCTGACAAAATGACTGCCAGCTCCAGATAGAGATCTAGGAAACCACAGAGAGATATTGACATGCCCCAACCACAGAACTGCCGTAGCCCACGCTCTGGTAGAGCTTGTCGAGGCAACCGAAACCATGACATCTGCATATCCTGACAGCTGCAGCTCAGCTCAGCATAGCTCCATCCTTGGGAGGATTGAAACTCCAGGCTCTGTCCTGCTCACAGCACTGAGGCTCGCAGCCCTGTTTCCCCCAAGCAGGAAAAACCTCTGCTGGCATTATTGTCTGTGCCATGTTGTTCTGCTTCGCTCAGCCTTGGGGACATGCTGGCTGTGTACTGGGACACAGGGTGTGTTGTGTCCATGATGCCACGTTGCCTGTGTCCGGTGTGATGTGCATTGACTCAGCCTTGCTGCAGCAGCACAAATGGGGTCCCCTCTCCATCACCAGCAGCTGAACCTCAATGCTGAGCCCCCAGGGCTCTGCTGGTTATTTTCATGAACAGTTGCCCATCATTGCCTTTCCCAAACCTGTCTTCGCTGGTGCACCAATCAGCAGCACAACGTGATCCTGCTTCCCACATCTGACAGAGACAGAATCCTCTTGCTTAGGCAATCTGCCCAGTGCCACAGTGTGCAGAAAGGAGCAGGCATCCCTGCAACGTCCCCCAGAAAGGTGGTGGAAGCCACACCAGCCAATCTTCCCCTTTGTCTGCAGGGCCTGCACGTGCCTGCATCCTGTCAGGACCGGGTTGGGGGCCACCACCACGTCCACCACCACCACTTCATCTCTGGTGGTTTAGTGGTCAGGACTCATCACTCTCATGGCCTGGGTCCAATTCCCAGCTAGGGAAAAGGCCCTTACAGCCACCACAGGTCACAGACTTCTCTGGGCAGATCCATGTGGGCAGACAGGGCAGGGTAAATCTTGAGGACCATTGGCAATCCACTCCTCTTCCTCACTGCCATCAGGCTGCACCCTCCAGCAGAAATCTGCACTGTCCTGGCAGCAGGAAGCAGTGCTTTGTAGGCAGCAGGGTGCTGCAGCTGTGTGTGTTCATCTTGAGGCAAGAGAGATGCAGGTACTTGGCCATTTTGGCCACCCCGAAGGGGAAGAGGCCAACAAAAGATGAGGGTCAGGAGCAGATGGGGACAGCAGGGTGCCCTCAGTGAGGATGTGTGTCTGTCTGTCCCTCCTGGGGACAGGAGGACAGGGGCTGTCAGTAAAAACTCCCGCTGTGAGCAGGATTTGAACCTGCGCAGGGAAAACCCCATTGGATTTCAAGTCCAACACCTTCACCACTCGGCCATCACAGCTGATGTGCAAAGGTCCAGCAGGGGGGTGCCCTGGGCTGTCACCTGGCCCCAGGGGACATCAGACCCTCTCCTGACTCTCCTGCTGCGGTGACAAGGGAGAGGCCCCAGGCACACACCAACACTCAGCAATGGCCAAACATCGGTGTGTGATGGACACTGTATGGGCTGAGAGCAGGGCATGGGAGGGCTCACATGGTGTCAAATAATGGCATGCACTTTGATATGTTGGCTGAACACAGTCCTGTGAATGGAAAAAATGTGCCTCCTGTTTTATGGTGTCAGCCCACGACATCAGAGGTGGATGCTGGTGGTACAGCAGTAGAGGTTAAACCTTCCCACCAGCGCCCCATTTTGTGCTGCTGCTGTGTGACAGATGGCAGCAGAGGGGCAGTCTGACAGAATGGTGTCTGACACAGAAGGGTGGATGGAGCAAAGTGTGTCATTGAACTCCTCCATGCAGAAACAGTGGCACCCACTGACAGTCAGTGATGCTTGTTGGATGTTGATGAGACCAACCAGCGCATGTGAGCACAATGAGGAGTGGGTGGTGTGCTTCAGCACTTACATGAAAGGCAAGCCATTTTCCAGATGGCCAAGCAGATTTTAAAGAGCATAGCGTGCAGGCTTTTGCTCACTGCTGGTGAAATGTGTAGCTAATGGTGGTGGCTGTGTTGAAAAATAGTGTTTTGTGGCTGGGAATTAGCTCTACCAGTGTTACTGTGCTCATTGTATTAGTTGTAGTTTCCATAGAGATAAATTGAAGGCATCACTTTTGGAATAACCCACATATATGCAGTCTGGGACAACTCCTCTTCACTCAGTATGGTCCGTGCAAGCCAAAGGATTGGACATCCATGAGCTAAAGTAAGACACAAGAGAGAAAAGTCTTCAGATCTGGAAAGCTGCATGTCCTGATGGGTGCAGTTAGTACAGATGAGGTCTGTGTGTTCTTCTACACTCTTTGAGCATGAAGTTCATTTCGTATCCAAAAAGCTCTGCTGGAGAGAGGCTTCATTTCAGGGTGGGGGTTCAAATACCTTCAGGTGACAAATGCAGGAACCTGAACACACAGACACATCGTGGTGCCCATTGTGTGTGTAGAAAGGATATGGGGACTCCAGATCCCAACAGAGGGACATGGAGAGAACCAGAGCAGCAGCAGCAGATGGGCTTGGAGAGCACTGGTGTCCAAACAGAGGAGCTTGCAGGAAATGTCTGAATCACAGAATCATAGAACAGTAGAATCATAGAATGGCCTGGGTTGAAAAGGAGCACAGTGCTCATCAGTTCCAACCCCCTGCTGTGTGCAGGTCGCCAACCAGCAGCCCAGGCTGCCCAGAGCCACATCCAGCCTGGCCTTGAATGCCTGCAGGGATGGGGCATCCACAGCCTCCTTGGGTGACCTGTAGGTTGTCCGAAGGGGGCGAGGATGGAAGTGTGGTCTGGACAATACCTGGGTTCAGAGAGATTTCCTCACCTGGCTGTTGCAGCCTGGCTGGACTCAGGCTTTTGTCACACTGCTCAGAATTCCCACAATGCAGCTCAAGAGATTCATTTCTGATGCCTTTTTTCTTATCGTATCTTTTGTCATTGTCAGCGAATACCTGTTTACATTTCAATGGAATATTTACAGACAAAACAATATTGCCTATTAAGAAGAACAGGATGTGTTTGTAGAAAAATACAAGAGGAGAAATGACAGCTCTTCTCATGTAACAAATGGCACTATTTAATACTGCACAACACAGAAAACCACACAGACACACACACACACAAAAAAAAAAAAAAAAAAAAAAGGAAGGAAAGAGAAAAAAACACAACAAAAGCAGCACTTATGAGACAGACTTTGTCTATTCAGAGAAATGCTCCAACTCTGCTTTTATCTTTCAAGCTACAGAAAACAGTGACAGCTTCTCTCCAGCACTGGCTTTGCTGGGCACAGCTGCTGTCTGCAGTCGCTGCTCATGGTGCATCCCACTACCTGGCAAAAGGTGAACACGAGTTGTTGTGATCATACCTTGATCCAGTGAGCACCAATAGTCCCAGCAGTACTTCATGTGGTTAAGTGCTGTTGGGGCCATGGGAAAATGGGAAGGACAAGCTCTAGAAAAGAAGCGTTGCTCCTATGGAAGGGTTGTGTTGGCTGCTGGGTGGGACTCATTTGGGCCATTCAGGTTGAGATCTTTCCATGGATGGGTGTGCAGGAGCCAAGGGAACCGTCACAGGTAGGAGAGCTGTAGTACCCCCACATCCCACAGACACTTAGGTTTTAACTTGCTTGATTTCACCTCTCTGGGTTTGGACTCTTATCGCTCAGAGTGCAGCCAGAAGCAGCCTGTCCTGACCTCTTGTGTCCGTAAAAGCTTTTCCAGATAGCTGGACCTCTACAGGACCCGTGCAGAGTATCCCCATCACTGGCTTTACCCTCAACGATCCAGTGGCCGATTCTCAGTGCCACATTTGGTTTTGAGCACTAGATGCCCTTCTCCAAAGAGATTTAAGGTTATTTTTTAGCACTGCAACCTTTATATTCACAAATATATACTTTTTTCTATTCAGATATTAGGAAAAGTTTCTTCTCAGAAAGAGCAGTGCTGCAGTGACACAGCCGCACAGGGAACGCTGGGGTCGCTGTCCATGGAGGAGTTGTGGAGCTGTGCAGATGTGGCACTGGGGGATGTGGGCAGTGGGCATGGTGGGGTGGCCTGGGGTTCACTGGATGATAGCGGAGGTCTTCTCCATCTTGAATAATTCTATGGTTCACTGAAAGCTGGACAAACGGTTTTTGATTAAATGTCACTTCTAAACCACTGGGAACTTTCCCTCCTCTGCTTAAGTAAGAATTTCTGTGCCAGCAGCCGAACACTTGTTACCTATTCTGTTTTATCCTGCTCACCCCATTCCTCTATAAGCTCTGCTGTGCTTCTCTTGGATCTAAGGTTTTCTGCACCAGTGGTTTGGTTTCCTCGATGTCACAATGCCCTTCAGAAGGTCAGGCTTCGATGGGCTCTTGGCTCTAAGTAGTAGGTAAATAAATTCACTGTTTGAAATGCAGGAACAATCAGTCTTTGGCACGTGAAGACCAAAACTTAGGTATGAATTTGTACCTGAATTGAGTTCTTAACCTGAGTTAAGCTTGTTAACCTTCAGGAATGGTGGTTCACTTGGAGTTTATGTATACTGGAGTTTACAAATTGAAAATATTTTAATACATAATATGTATTTTAATATATAAACGTGTCTCTACAATAAAAATGGGTGCTGAAAGGGCTTGCAAGAAAATCAGAGGCGTACCAAACAGGGGAAGAGAGAGACCTGAGAGCAACTTCACAGTGTCTACAGTGGGGCTGTGAGATAGAAGAGGACAAATTCTTTATCAGGGTCTGTTGTGACAGGATAAGGGGAATGGCTTCCAATTAAAATAGGGGAGATTTAAATTGGGTGCAAGGAAGAAGATTTGTACAATAGGGGCAGTGGGGAACTGGCTGAGGCAGCGACGCCCCATCCCTGCAGACAGCCAAGGTCTGGCTGAGGGCTCTGAGCACTGATGGAGCTGTGGGTGTCCCTGTGCCTGCAGGGAGTGGGACCTGATGGCCTTTAAAGGTCCCTTCTATCCCAAATGATTCCATGATTCTATGTTCTTTTTTGCTTTTAAGACGGAAACTAAAGAATATAAGATTTTTCTTTTTGCGTCTGTGGGTTACTTAACTATAAAGATCGGGTTGTTTTCAAGAGTCCAAAAGAGAAGAACTCTGAAACTATGCACTCAGAACAGAGAGGAGAACTGACAGAGGACCTCTTGTGATTGAGATAGGCTAACTAATCAATAACAAATGCTCCAGTTCCCCATACATCCTGAATGCTCTGCTGAATGGACAGAAGCTGGCAGGCTATCCAGTTTCCTCTTGAAGCTCAACAGATGGCATCAGAACACTGCAACGCCTAGATGGGGGTGGGCAGCTGAAAGCCCTGGGTAACAGAGGTGGACCTGGGCTGTGATGCAGGACACATCCAGTGTCACACCTGCAAAGGACAGGTGACTCAGCCACATTCTGCATCTAAAATGAAATTTTAGAGGAGGAAAAAAGGTTTTGCACTTTCAGTTCCTGCAAACCTAACCTTCACCAGTGTATACATGTGTTTGATTTAACATAATGTATGTTTGTTTGCAGTTTTCTTCCTTGTATTTTTATTTATTTTGGCTTTGTAAGGTCTGTGTAAATATTTGAAGAGTAGGAAGGATTGGGTTCTTAATCTTGTGGGATTTACTTAGTTGATCATCCATAACAAGTTCCTCTTGAGTGTCGTCTCCTCACAATAGCTGATCTCCATAATGACAATAAATAACAGTGATGAAGTGGGGAAGGGTTTATTCTGGACAGTAACTGATTTCTGATCAAACAGAACAGCATAAATTCCTGGTACAGAATGAAGGACACTGTGCAGGGCTGATCTGGACTGACTCTCTTCAGAAGGAGGAACTGGAAATTCTGTCTGCTTGGATGCACTTCTGGCAGTGCTGACAAAGTGTCTGATTATTTAACTGCCAGTGTGATGAGCAAGGGTCAGCAATGACTGCTGAAGAAACTGTGCCAAGCCAGTCAGGGCAGGAGGAGAAAGAAGAAGGTGCTGCAGGTGAGTTCTAGTTGACCCTGCTTCCAGTTATTCTTGTAAGCAAGTATCAAAAACCTGATCTAGAAGAAAATACATCCTGGTGGATGCAGAACTACCTAAATATCCTGTTATTCAGACATAAATTATCCCTGGACTCTCTCAAACACTGCGGAGTCCACTAATGTCTAATCTTGTGTGGATCAGAGCGAGTTGGGTACAGTCATAGGAGAGGAAAATGTCAACAAAGCAGATGTGTGGTGTTGTTTGCCACAGAGGCGGTGGATGCCCCATCCTCAGAGAAACCTGAGGTCAGGGAATGTGGCTCTGAGCCCTGATCAGCTGGAGGTGTTGGGATAGATGGCCTTTAGGGTCCATTCCAACTCAAACAGTTTGATGATTTTGTGATTCTATGATTCTAAGATTCTCCTCCAACTTCTGTCAGCAGTTTGTAGTTCTAGAATACCTGCCCATATACCATATACCATGGTGTCATGGTGCTTAACGCATTTTGCAATGTTATCACTCCTGTTAATGTGCCTGACCACTCTCTGGACTAATCCTTTCCTCAAAGGCTTCACAGTTATTTGAAAATTGCTTTACTTTTGTCTACTTCAGACCCTGTATTTGGCAATTCCATTTTATGGCTTTAGGCTTTTTACCATCCGAAATTTTGTGCCCCTTGATCTATTGGCAGGCAGAGTTTATTACTCCACAGTAACATGCTTGCACTCACCCATCTCTTCTATCTGATCTTGAGCTGATATTATCAAGAGATTAAAGATGAATGCAGTATAGAAATACTGTCTGATGATGGTTCTTTCTTGTCTTTCATAATACTTATTTCCAATTGACAATCTTTTGGTCAAGTCAGATGAGTTTGCAGTTATTCCTCATTCCCCAGTAGAATGCAGAGATGATCCACAGTGCAGCAGAAGTAGGGATTTCACATCCCCTATTGGTTTGAACAGCCTGTAGGTGCTGCTCCTACACCGAAGAAGACTGTGGGTAGATTGCTGGAGGAAGAGCAGGGACAGGAATGTACCCCTCTTTTTAGCACTGGGCTTTGCTTTCAGCTCTTCATGGCTGATAAGGGGTGTTAAAGTGCATGCAAACTCTAAGTCAGTACTTAATCTCTCTTCTGGTAAATTGATGGGCTTCTCTAAGGGCTTGTTTGGTTACTTAAACTGAACTCAAACCACAGTTCTCTTTTGTGTGGCAGTTATACCAGGCACAAGGACATGTGTAGCACTTTTTTCCCGTTGCAGTCATCAGCTCTGTCTTTTGGAACAATCTTGACTGCTGTTCAAAGAGGTAAATTCCTTCTCACCTTCCTGTCCGCCCATGGAAGCGCAGCCCTGCCTCCCCCTGCTCCATCTTGGTCTGTGCAACTGCTCTGTTCTTTGTCCAGTCTTTGCCACCCACAATGAGCAGCACTGATTTTATTCTCATTTCCAAATCACTGGTGATCTGACTCCTTTTAACTCCCACCGCCACCGTTTACTTTCATAAAATTCAGACGGTCCCTTTCACCTAGTAGAAAAGAGCTGTGTGCCTTTATTCTTTTTAACTGGTTTGCCAAAAAGTAAGTCAACATTTACAAAAAAAGGATGGAGAAGTGTGCAACTTTCTCAATCCAGGCAAGCCAGCCAGTAGATATTTCCTTTTGTCTCAAATTGTTCCCAAGTTCTCCCCAAGTTGGCCACTCCCAGGTCAGACCCAGCTGATTCCTGCCCTGCTGCAGATGCTATATAAGACTGGCTGCTTTCCTACTCTCACCAGTTCTGCAGAGATGGCAGGTAAGATGAGTGCTTTTTATTCCTATATCCGTAGTTAGCCTTTTGGATGTTACTGCTACTGGTATTGATGCATTCCTTGGCTGAGCACAAGGAGATGAGAGGATAGAGTAGGGCATGAAGAACCATTATTTATTCTTAATTCGTTCTCCCAGCATAGCTGAAATACACTTATTTTGAGAAGTGGGAAAAGAGAGCTCTCCTCCCTCCCCATTGCAGCAAGTTCATTAATTCTTCCTTATTTTGCCTTTTTTTCCTGTTTTAAATAGTTAAAATGTTGACAAAATGACTTTTAGGTATATATATACATATGTATAACTGCAATCTTTTAGTTAAGTATCTCCTTCCAGGGGAGCCACCTGCCATTGTATGTACGCTATGTATATCCACACATACGTGCTGGAGGGCCTGTGCTAGCACATCAGCCAATCTCTTCTGATGCTTTAGAGAATCCCTGCACATTCACTTAGAGTGAGCTGAGAATGATGTTGTGTTTCCCTCTAGGTATAAAACTGAGAACGGCTCTCCTAGGATCCCTCATCACATTCTGCTCAGTTGGGGCATCAGACTCCTCATTAAACAGTAATTTTCTGTTTCTCTCTCTGTTGCTCTTTTGCTTGAAGAGGTGTGGCTTTGGGTGGGGGGTTCGAGTCCAAGTCAGTCTGATTATTACCTCGTTACAGTTTCAATATAGAATTGTAGAATCATTAAAGTTGAAAAAGACCTCTAAGATCACCCCGTCCAACCCCAACCCATCCCATCGAGCCCACTGACCATGTCCCTCAGTGACGCATCTCCACAGTTCTCAAACACCTCCAGGGAAAAGGACTTGAATGTATTTGAAATATATCCAATATATCTGAAATTTACCCACTAGCAGTGAAGTCAGTGCCTAAGAGAATTATCTGTGTTGGGTCTCTCGAGGACATGAGTATCTTTTTATGGCAGGAAGATTGGTCACAGCCCATATATCAGGTTTCCTCTATGCACGTCCCAAGTGAATATCCCTCTTTACAGAGAAGAATACCTTGAATAAGAAAGGTGAAAGTTAACTCCCTAAAACCTCTCAAAGTCAAGAGAGTCAAGTTTGACTTGGATAAAAAACTATAATTTGGTGGTCATCTACATTTCCATGATTTTCAGAACCTCAGCAGTGGGGTGAGGTAGATGAGCGAGAGGAACATGGATAAAGGTATTAATGTAACACTACAATACAGTGGGAATGTGATGCAGAGGGACGCAGAGCTCCTTGTGCACATAGAGCATATCTCAGCTTGTTTATTTCCCCCTTTTTGAGTAGAGGGCTCAGAAGTGCTGTCGGACTCGCTCCTCCTGAGCAGCGTTAGTGAAGCCAAGCAGCAGGTGGACGCGGCGTATTCACGTGCTCGGAAGTGGTGAGTCCTTTTTTGCACGAAAGCTCCAACGTTATGAGGCAGTAAGAGAGAACCTATGAGGGCTGCTCCGAAAGTACTGCCTCCTGTTTTACGATGTTGGCCCACGATGTCAGAGGTGGATGCTGGTGGTGTGGCAGTGCAGGTTGACCTCTGGGGGAGGGTCTCTCTCTACGAATGAACAGGAACAGAAGCAACATATCCAAGATTGTCTCTGCTCATAGAATATATACTGTGACATCCTAAATGTAACATCTTATTCCGTCACTGAAAAACAATTTTTATAGCTTTTCACATAGATTAATAGGTCTCATTCTGACAAGGATATAAAGCAAACCCAAAAGGAGTCACGATGACTCATTTCCCAAAATTTTACTGAGAGAGGGAGATGTGCAAATCTGAGGAGCAGTCAGGTTGTTATAGAAGAGCACATCGTGCCTGGGGACCTGCTAGTTCCATCACATCTAACTACACCAGCCCCCCCGGGCAGAGGAGGTGTTTACAGAGTAGGCAGCCCACAATGCTCTGTTCTGTTTAGCTTACAGCAAAAACTAGGGGATGAGTTTGCCAGCCCAGTGGATTTCCTGAAGCACTTAAAGGATCCAGTAGGAAGAACCAGATCTGCAGTCCGTGCTGCCGACTACTTGGAAACTACTTTGAAGCTCCTCAAAAGAAAGCTGAAGCAGTCTGGGAGGATGAGATTCAACATTACAGGTAATGTGTTGTAGACCAAAATATCTTGCCAACAAAGGAAAAGCTATCACAGCATGTGTGTCAAAGAGCAGCTCTGCACTGACCCAGATTGCTGATTACAGAGCCCTGCCATGATCCTGATAACTGGGGAAACCCTTCCCCAGGCTGCCAGCTGGTATCAACTTGCCTGAAGGGTGCTGGGTGTGCAGGGGCTGAAAGATGCTCAGAGGCAGACCTGGACCACCTGGTGTTTCAGTCATCAGCTGTGGCACTGCGTATCTCCGCTCCTGTCTTTGATGATAATATCAAGAGAGTGTGAGTGGAATAGTAACAGGATCGCTAGAAATCAGTGGGATAAACCTGGGGCATAATGGGCTGAGCACCAGGAGACCGCACTTCCTGAGCTGATCCACTGCCGATACACAGAAGTGTTTAGGCCTCAACTTAACAGTGAAAATCCAGATGTTATACAGATGCTGTATCTCCACAGTTCTGACCCAGCTCACAGCTAGCATGTCTCTAAGTGGCCCAGTCCTCCCATGCTAGAGAACAGGAAGGATCCAGAGATTAGCAATTTCTTATCTATTTCGACGGAATGTTTCTGAGATATCAAACAAACTGAGTTCTTCAAATCCTTCCAGAGGTCTGCATGGTACACCCTGCCTTCTTCCCAATGGATTAATTACTAGAACAAAGAAAAGAACTGTCATATAACCTTGCTGATTAGAGCTAAACCCTGCCACAGCTCAGTGGTCTCTCTGGGCTCAGTGCTGTGCTGCAGTGCAGCACTTCTGTGGATGGGGCTGCATCCAACAAGCTGACGTGGACGATCTGTCAGTGTGAAAGACTTCATTAGGGCTGAGCTCTGTGGTGTCATCTGTCACTTCTAAGGCTCACCATCTATGTCTCACATCTCAAGAAAAGACCCTTTTCTTGGGGTAGGGTTTGTCCCAGCTGAAGCTGACTACACACAGGGTAAGTTTTGGGTTGAACAGCAGTTCATTAGAGAGATAAAGGCGCTTGGCTGAAGGTGTTTTAACCCACATTCTTGGCAGCTGTCTGAGGAGGGCATCACTGAATCACAGGATCATTAAGGTTGGAAAAGTCCTCCCAGATCCCCAAGTCCAACCCCAGCTCACCCCACCATTCCCATAACCTGAGTGCCACATCTCCATGATTCTGGAACACCTCCAGGGACTGTGACCATCAGCTCCCTGGGCAGCTGTGCAACTGCAGCACATACTGGACCCTCCACAGACTCTGCTTAATAGGGGTGGATTTAGCTACTAGAGCAGAGTGACTCTGGATGAGCTGATGATATGTGGCACAGAGAGAGACTCAGAGGCAGAAGTTATTCTGGGGAATTCAGGTTCCGAGTATCAGCTGGTTCACAGCATATTTTTGCATATGTGCTCTTATACCAATAAATGCCACGGAACTAATATCTGTAACAAAATTAGGATAAGTGGAGACCTCCATTTGCTAGGGCGAGTCATGACCTGAGTCAGTGTAACTACCCCTAGGATAGTCTCTGGTTAACTCTGGGCACCTAAAGACAGTGCATGAACCTTCTTCATGGATGGGTCATGAAGCTCAGTCTCTGAGCTCACTGAAACCATTGGGCATTTAAGATTTGAGAAGGAGTGTTACCTGGAGGGATTCTGTTGCTGATAAGCAGTGCAGACCTGCTCTGTGATCCCCACCAAGGCTCTCGTGCTGCTGAGAGGTGAAGTAGACAGATTCTATTAGTAACAGAATGTATTCCACAGCAAGAGCATGTTTTCTCCTGCTTTAAATTGGAGGAAGCGTGAAATAACATTAGATGCTGGTGCAGTGGGTGCTGACATTGCTAATAATACAGAAAACTTCAATCATCAGCTAAGAATGCTGAGATGATAAAATACAATTTCTTAAGAGCAGATGTCATTTTGCATCGTTTCTTTCACAGACATATTGGATAGGAAACAGAAGGAGATGATTTCCAAAGAAACTGGCTGTGGCTATCAGATTCGCTCCGTTAAATGCCCAGGGGGTGACATTTTCCGGACCATTACTGGAGAGTGCAACAACAGGTAGGACCTGTGATGTAACTGATGTTTCCTTTCTGCTTCGTACGGGCAGGAAAAAGATCTCATGTCTTGAAAACATCAGATATGAATCCATCGCTTCCATGTGCTGCTTCCCAAGAACTTCTTGGGAGTGGGGGAAGGTGAAAAGTTGAGAAAAGAAGATCTGGGAGCCATGAAATTCAGCCCCTCTCTCCACTTGAGGCCCCAGAATACTGCTTTATCTCCTCTGTGGCACAGCAGTATTAATTCCCTCAGCCATTGGGAGGCATCACACTTTGAATCTGGTGAGAGTGCTCAAACTTCACACGTCTTAGACTGAGTACACAAGCAATATTTTTAAAAGCATGTGTCTCATGGGTGCTGTGAATATCAGTATACCCCACCAAGTATGTCACACTGTGACATGGGAATATTTTTTAAGGCTCTTGCTCAACTTGAAATGCACACCATGAGATAGCACAGGTATGTTCAGCAGTTCTCTCACTGTGCATTCACACTTCAGATAAGGTCAGCGGATCATAGCATGACCTGCTGTTAGACGTCCTTCAGGTTTGAACACCCCGCAGTTCAAGAGGGATGTGCAAAAACTGGGTAGGATTCAACAGAGGATTTCCAAGATGGTCAGTGGCCTCAGGTGGACAAAAGCACAGCTCCTCTGATAGTTGGAGATGGCCATACTGTGAGACTGTGAGTTTGTGTGGAGCAGCAGCAGAAACAGATGCTACAGAGATAGAAATTCCAAATAAAATTAATACGTCATCAGGAATCTTTTCTTGCTGTTAAAAAGTTAATTTTTATCTACAGTAATTATCTCGGTATTGCTTACTTCTCAATGTTTCCTGGCTATCACCCCTGCTACTGGAGTGGGCAGACATGGACCAAAGGCTGCCAGTCATGAGGGACATGGTCAGTGGGCAATGCTGGTTGCGAGGCTGAGAGTTGGGCTGGATGATCTTAGAGGTCTTTTCAAACCTTAATGGTTCTATGATTTATCTTTACAAGCCTGTTCATTTCTGAAATAATACTGGTGTTGGCTTTTTTCTGATGTTCCAGAAAGAAACCTCATTTGGGGGTTTCCAACCAGGCATTCGCTCGCTGGCTCCCAGCAGCATATGAAGATGGAGTGTCTGTTCCCAGAGGAGCAACTGAAGGAAAGCTTTATAATGCATTTCCACTCCCACTGGTGAGAACAGTTATACTTGCCTGGATAACATTACTGATAGAATCATAGACTGGCCTGGGTTGAACTGCACCCATCAGTTTGGAACACTGGTAACATCTAGAGTGTGAAATGAATGATCCTTTTCTGTGACCTCAGGTGCAAATAATTTTCTCAAACTGAGGTATGTCTTAAGCTCAAGAGACAAAGAAAAAATGATGCAAGTACTTCACTATGGGCAAGGGCATGGGCCAAAGCATGGGCAAGATCAAAGTATTTTCCAAAGTGTGCATCCTGAGGCTGGGTGCAGGCAGCACCATCCTGCACTCAGGTATGCCAGGATTTTTGTACAAGGAGTAAGATGCTGGTGCTCTCATAGAATCATTCAAATTGGAAGGGACCATTAAAGGCCATCTGGCCCAACACCCCTGCAATGCACAGGGACACCCACAGCTCCATCAGTGCTCAGAGCCCCTTCAGCCTGACCTTGGGTGTCTGCATCGCCTCTCTGGGTAACCTGTGCCAGTGCCTCACCTCCCTTACTGCAAATATTTCTTCCTTATGTCCAACCTGAATCTCCCCTCAGCCATCTTCTCTCTTTCTGGGTATATGCACATCCCTCAGGTTGAGCTCAGGCCTGCTGTAAGGGGAGGCTTGGCTGGGTGACTATAGAGTTAAGACGGTGCTGCCAAAGGGCTAGAGGCTGCATATCACACCCGTTTAGGTCCAACTGAAGCATAATGTCATTCTATGTAATGCAATAATTAACTCTTAAGGGCTCATTTGAGACTGTCTTATCCATGGTTTCACAATGGGAGTTAGTCTGGGAGGTGAATTCCCCTTGGCACGGACAGTCACACGCATCTCAATTTTGATTTTCTGCAGGTTCGAAAAGTGTCCAATGAAATTGCTCATACAGCCAATGAGAACATTATTATTCCCTTTTAAATTATTATTATTTATTCCCTTTTAAATTTAGAATTATTGCCCTTTGAGAACACAACAAAAAGTGTTTGTGTGCTCACAAACAAGAGCATGAACATCCCCTGCTTTAGAGCTGGTAAGGTGCATCTGTACAGCAATTTCTACTCTTATTGCCCGTGAGAAGAGCCCCGTGGTGCACGAGGAGAGACTCATTTTTGTACCTTCAGCTGTTGGAGGGACTTCACCATGTCTCTCCCAGTTGCCTCCACCATTTCTGCTGAAAGCACATTCATAGATCTCTCAAAGGTGTTTATAACTTGAGGGAGCTGAGACAAATTTTCAAAACCAAACGTTCATACAAAGGAAGATTGCTAAAAGCCTTAAGGTACAAGAGGAAGACAGAGAGCAGGTTGTCATAAAATGAGATATTTACAGCTGCTTCATGAACAAGTGCAATTTAGTCCAAATTGCCCAAATCCCTTTTTCACCGTCCCTGGGGATGATCAAGAAACGTGGAGATATGGCAGTGAGGGACGTAGTGAGCAATATTGGTGCTAGGTGGGTGACTGGGTGGTCTTAGAGGTCTTTTCTGTGTCTTTTCTATGGTTCTCCAATGGTTTTGGCTAAATTGTTTGGAGAGGGAGAAAGAAAATTCTTGGTCTGTGCTGGAAATATCTGGCATGACTTGATGACTGCTAGGAAACTTAACCACAGGCTTAGGAAAACTGCTAGGAAACGTAACCAACAACACTACATATCTTATCTCCATCATACCTACATCATACCATACTCCATCATTACCTCCATCATACATATTTGATGCCCTACCATCAAAATCTGCTGTGGAAATATAAAGCAGCTGACCAGTTTCCTAAAACACTTTCATTTGTAGGTGACAAACGGGTAACGGAGAACTTGGGACTTTCTGCTCTGCACACTGTGTTCCTCTGAGAGCACAATCGCCTGGTGACAAAGCTGGGGAAGTTAAATCCTCACTGGGATGGAGAAAAGCTTTACCAGGAGAGTCGAAACATCATAGCTGCCATGACCCAGGTAGTGACCACTGCTCTTCTTAGAAATTGTTTTTCCTCCTCCAAATGCAGCAAAATTATTCCTTGAAGAACTCATGGACATTCCAATTTCTCTTTGAATTTGATGTCATTTCTGCTGTAGCTGCTGATTGTTCTACCTTTATGGTATGTTTTTCAGATAATAACATACAGAGATTATATACCACTTCTGCTTGCAGAGGAGACCAGCAGGTGGATTCCCTCGTACAGTGGTTACAACGAGAGTGTGGATCCGACGGTGTCAAATGTTTTCTCCCTGGCCTTCCGATTCGGTCACGCCTCAGTGCAGCCTTTTGTATCCCGTTTAGATGACAGCTTTCAGCCTATGGGTTCACTTTCCCATGTCCCTCTCCATCTGACATTCTGTGCATCATGGAGAATTATAATGGAAGGTAAGAACTCGGGGCCACCAGCAGTCCTGATTCGGTCCTGAAGTTGACTCTCCGGCGCAGATATGCTGGTAAGACATGCAAGCATAGACTCACAAGAATTAGCACCATTTATTTAACTGGTTTCACCACTTATAGTGCCATTCATCTTGCAAGCAGACATGTCTCCCCAAGAGGCTCAGTGGTCTCCTAGATGTGGGGTATCAGGACAGTCCTGTAGAAATGTCTCCAAATGCAGCCCAACAACGCTGGCCCTGTGCTGAACCCAGGTGAAGGAGCCCTGCCAAAAGCTGCATGTTGTAATATTCAAACCGCTGAATGCTACCCAGCACCAACTCCAACCATGAGAAGCCATTTCAGATTTTCCATCAGAACATATAATTCTGTACCTTCTTTCACACTGCCAAGTATCACTCAGTAAAAAGAGAGGCCAGTGAGAACAGTTTATATCCTTCTGTAACTGGTAGGGGTTGTCAGAGGGTAACGCATCCAATCCAACTGATGGGATAATTGCTTTCTAATGGTGGCCCTCCCTCTTCAAGACTCTAAAGGGAGTCGCAGGATCCAGCTTTTAGACAGTTAATGTCTTCAGGCAAGAATCTTCCCAAGAAAGATGGTTGTCTCTTCCAAAATGAATTATTTTACTACGGAAAATATTCTGACGTATACAAATCCACTAATTTCTGCTGTGTTTTAATGATTCTGTCTCCTTAATGGCTTTGAAAAACATACAAAAAGAGACAAAAACTGATTTCATTTTCACATTTCATTTTCTAAAACACATTTGCTAACTGGTAGGTAATTCTAAACAAAAACAAATTGCAAAACAAAACATTGGACAGAATCCCATGCATCAGTACTTGCTGGGAACTGACTGCTTGAGGAGCAGCTCTGCAGAAGAGGACTGGGAGGTCCTGGTGGGTAACAAGTGGATGTATGTATGCTGAGGGAATGGGAGAAGTAGGCAGTATAGTTGCTAAGGAGAAGCCTCATCAACTGGGTTTTGCAGATTTGTACATATGTGCGTTCATATGTTTGAATGGAAATGTGAGTCTAGGTGAACACACTGCTCAGAGTAGAAAAAACATCTAACACAGCACCGCTCCATCTGCTGGAAAGGGACCACCAAAGCTGGAACTTGGCAAAAAGTCTCTTTTTGGTTTGCAATGAGTGCAGGTGGCATCGATCCGCTGATACGCGGCATGGTGGTGGATCGTGCAAAACTGATGAAACAGAATCAAATGCTCGTTGAGGAGCTGCAGAACCACCTTTTTGAGCAAACAGAGATCATGGGTCTGGATCTAGCAGCTCTGAACTTGCAGCGGGGAAGAGACCATGGACTTCCAGGTAAGGAGACTCAGGCCCTGTCCTGTGGGCAATGCTCCGTTTCCTTTGCTGGTCATAGCAGTTCTGTGAATGTACGCCCATGGGGAAAAAATGGTACTTTGATTTGAGATGGCAGTCAGATTCAGAGAAGAGCTCTTTATGTTGTAAAGATCTTTCTCTGGGGGATTTACAAAGAGTTTAAGAAGGGCTTGGGAGGCAAATGTGATATTTGGAAAATTTATTAGAGATGGGTAGAAGCAATGGTGTACTGCAAAGAAAACAGTGAGGGGTAGAGCAGATACAGCCCCAATCAACCAAGCTCAGTTTTCACATGAGCTCTTCACATCATATGCTCTTTGCCCACCAAGAGTTGTTCCATGTCTTCAGACAATTCACAGCTCTGAACAGAAGTGGCATGTGCCCTCAGTGGTGATTGGCTCCACATGCTGCAGAGAAATGGGTGTTTTGGGGGTAAACACAACCACGAGGCACTATTTGCTAGGATTTTAATCCTGGAAATGTTGCCTCCCAAAAATGTAAGAGCAGATCCAGTCATGCTCAGCACCAGGTGGTTTGAATTGGCAGATTATGCTGAACAATGCAGAAGACCCAAAATATTCGTTTAGTGTATGCATTCCTTAAAAAGCACTTAAAAACTAACTCTAACCCCAAACCTCAGCGTACCCCTAGAACTAACCCAGGCCCTAGCGGCAATACTAACCCTAATCCTAAATTCCAATCTTAAACCTAGTGAAAACCCTAACTGTGATCCTAAAACAAACCCATACCCTAAACCATCTCCCCAGCGCAACCCAGAAACACTAACCCTAGCCCAACCAAAACCCTAACCCTGCAGCAAATCACAGCCCTAAACCTAACCCAACCCAACTATACCCAAACCGAACCCTAACTGCAACTCTAACCCTTAATCCTAACTCTGACCCTAACACTAAAAACCTTAACACTGACATAGCATTTGTTGTAACTGTTTCTATCCAGCTATGAATGTCTTCCAGAACCTTTAGTACCGTAGGAAGATGCTGCTGAGGGCTGTGGGGTCTGTTTGGCTCTTACTGTAGGCAGACAGGTGGACGGCAGGGGCTCTGAGCAGCTTCTGTCCCTGTTGTTGCAGGTTACAACGCCTGGAGGCGCTTCTGTGGGCTCTCCCAGCCTCAAACAGTGGATGAGCTCTCTGAGGTGCTGGGCAATAGTGAACTGGCCAAGAAGTTCATGGTCCTGTATGGGACACCGGACAATATTGACCTCTGGATTGGGGCAATTGCAGAGCCCTTCATTCCCCGGGGCAGAGTTGGGCCCCTCCTGGCCTGCATCATTGGCACCCAGTTCAGGAACTTGCGTGATGGGGACAGGTAGGTGGCTCTGAGAGCATGCCATTCCCACCCCACCTCCCACGTGTCACTGAGTGCTTGCAGCAGGGCTCACGCTTTGGTTTTAGCCTTGGTTGCCAAAGGGCTCTTTCTTAACAGCTGATTTGTAGAGACACACGTGGCTGAGGAATGCCAGCTCCAGCCCAAGGGTGATCTGCACTAGTCTCTGCCTGAGGTGAGATTTGCTCTCAGGGTGCTAAAGGGAAGGATCAGTCCCTGTGTCCCAGTGATAAAGTTAAAGAGGCAGCTGAGCGTGGCAGAATCCAGACTTCTTTCCAAAGAGTAGTGCTTACTGTCTGATGCATGAAGGTGGATCTGAGCAGAGATTCACCTGGGCCAGGTGTCTATTTTGGGAAACAGCCATCACTAAACACTTCAAGAATACTGTAAGTTGCTTCTGAAAATATTGTTGCAGGTTCTGGTGGGAGAACCCAGGAGTTTTCACTCCGCAGCAGTTGGAAGAACTGACAAAAATCTCAGTGCCAAGAGTGATCTGCGACAACACCCGTATCAAAAAGCTACCCAGGGACATGTTCAGGGCCAGCAGCCCTGGGAACTTTGTTGATTGCCATGAGATTGACGTGCTTGATCTCTCAGCCTGGAAAGATGAGCCTGAGAGGGGCAGCAAAGGTACGTAGGAGATTTCCCTCATTCGAATGCTCTCCAGGAAAGAATATAAAAGAATTAAGAAAGAAATAAAGGAATCAAGGTCATCGGGGTGATCCTACCCCCAGGCACACTGTGACCATCCCTTCAGCCCCACTCGTCTGAGTGATCAGTGCTGTCAGCCTGATCTCCTTGCAGTCCATCCCTTAGAAGGTAACTCTTCTATCAACCAGATGGAAAATCCCAGACAATCCACCCTGTCCAAGTCCCTATGTCCTTCCCTCAGCAATGTATTCCAAGCCAGGTAATCTATTCCAGCCAGAGTCTTCCTTCACGGCAAAGATGTCCATGAAGAAATCAATCAGGATTACTCAATCCACTTTAATCTTCTACTCTGCTAGACTAAGTCTCTGCTTTCCCCTTGCCTTTCCTAAAGCTTTGCAGTATTTTGAGGAGTATCTAGAGCTATTTTGACAGTGCATGGCCTGACACAACAGTAGTCTAACACACACAGCCATGATTATGATACAGGATGGTACAAGAGTGCCTTTATATAAAGAACAGACAATTACATGTCTCCAACTACATGTACTTCGGCATAAGCTCTTCCAGCTGGAAATGGATATGAAGAAAACAGAATCTTGCAGAAGACAGAGCAGGAGTTTTTCCTTATAGCAACCCACATATAGATTATCATGTTGTCGTCCTGCACAGAGCACAGATATCTCCACGCAGTTCCCATGGTCAGTTTCATTCACAGTATGTGAGAGGAATACCAGTATGTAAGAAAGACACTGGGCGTAAGGGCTGAATTGTGGTGACTGCTTTGGAAACCTAAAGGTGTCACTTCCCTTCCCTCTGAGCAGCAGCTTCCTGACTTGTTTATGAACTTCATCTTATGGTCAGTGAGACACGTTGAGCCGCTTCCTGTGACCTTTTTATCACCAGGCTGGGAGGAAGCTGAGTTGCCTTTGCATAACCTGCCAGCAGTGAAATTGCAGGGCACTGAAAACCAACAGCTCAGAGTGAAACTTCCTCAAGCACCATGAGTTTGTCCCGAAAAGCACAATTCCAAAGGGCCTTCAGGTTCCAGGTCACTGGAGGTACTTTTTGACCACAGTGTCCCAGAGGTGAAACAAGACACAGGTGAACCAGGCTATCTGCCATGATGTTCCTATTGGCCTATTGCTATGTTAAGCTATGCAGTGACATGGAAATATGGAGAGAAGTAGATGCCCAACAAACACTTTGTGATGCTCAGTAGCCCTTTCTGCTTCATGGGCAGTTTCTAATCCTGCTCTTGCAACCAGTGCTGGAAACTCCCAATGATGGCACCCCATTGCTTTTTGGAACCTGCTGCCCATATGTCCTGCTGAGCCAACTGCAGCTGATGGAGGCTCTGGCACCTGCTTCCAGAGAGGAGCTCAGGACTGACTCTACTGCTGTTTTTGCTCTGCTGTGATGGGATTATCCCACGGATGTGTAAAACAGTGCAATCCTTCATGCAGAGCAGAGATGTTTGGCCATCTCTTGCCCTAAAACTTGTCAGGGTTTTACAAGACTGGGTTAGGTGCTCTGTGTTTTTAGGAATGTTAAAGGCACAGCCATTTTTCTACACCCCGTCATAAAGGGGTGGCAAATCTGGAAGCCAAAGCGCTTGCATAAAACAGGTTTCAAATGTTGTCCTTGATTATAATCTCTTAATTGCAGTTTATTACATGCTGATTTAGCCTTCTAAATCAAATTCCTTATTCTTTGCCGCACTCAGAGTTTAGCAAGTTCACGTAATCTCTATTGCAACACCCATCACGTCCTTCTTCCTTTGCACAAAAGCATAGTTCTGGGGGCTGCTTCCAGTTCACAGTGAGATTTCAGTCTCTGAAGACACTGGAGAATTCAGCTGCATTTTGAAGCACAGAGACAGCTCTGCTGGGCATTAATAAAATTCTTAATTGCGCTCACTGACTTTTGGCATCCATTCTGGCACGTCAGACATCTGTCCCAAAACTTAAGAGAGCTGCTGTCTATTCCAGGCCATGGCCACCAAAGTTAGCCATACACAAACACAAACCACTTTTCCTTTTTAATCACAGTACAGCCCATGGTTTAAAGAAGCTCAGTACCTGAAACTCAAGCTTTTAAAGTGTGTTTATTTTATATCTTATTCGTGCTCTATTCTCCCTTGCCTGCAACAGAAATTGTGTTGAGGACATAGAGAAGACAGGGAAAAACCAGGAAGCTTCCAGAAACCAGGAGCTGTGGCTCCCATTGCGGATGAGGATAAAAAAAAAACGTTGCGTAAAAAAATCATTTTCAGGGCAAGACAAGGACTTCAAGTGATGCATTTCTGCAGTTTGCCTCTAAATCCTGTGGGCACATTCCCTTTGTGCTTTCAAGATCTGACCAACCATGGAATACAAAGCCTCCCTTTGCCTAAAAGGAGGGCCAAGGGACTTTCTAACAAGACAACCAACTCCTCAGGCAGGATGGCCACAGGCTCTGGGATAAATGCCTCCATCTTGTTGGCTTTTAAGGTGATTAAGCACACAACAATGGTCACAGAAAAGATTCACCTTGTCCTGGGGTCCAAGATGGAGAGAAGCTCTCAGGGTTAAGATTACAAACTATTGTCCAGTTGTCCATTGAGTGTCCATCCATAGAGCTCAGGAAGCACAGTTCTCAGAAAGGAAGTTGACCACCATTTTACCACTTAAACGTTTTTCTTCTTCTGGGGACTTTTTTCTTTGACACGGTCCACCACGACATCCTTGTCTCCAAATTGGAAAGGTATGGACTGGATGGGTGGACTGTTCAATGGATGAGGAACTGGTTGTGAGTTGCGCTGGGATCAGAGCTCTTTATGATCTCCATCAGTGATATTAACAGTGGGACTGAGTGCACCCTGAGCAGTTAGCAGATCACACCAAGCTGTGTGGTGTGGTCAGTGTGCCTCAGGGACAGGATGCCATCCAGAGAGACCTGGTCAGAATGAGCGGTGGGAACCCGCACCTGGGTCATGGCAACCCCTGCTATCAGTATAAGCTGTGGGGTGTAAGGATGGAGCACAGCTCTGCCAAAAAGATCTGGGGGTACCGGTGGGTGGCAGCTGGGCACGAGCAGTGTGCCCTCACAGCCCAGAAAGCCAACCGTCCCCTGGCTGTACCCAGAGCAGTGTGGCCAGCAGGGCAGGGAGGGGATCTGCTCCTCTGCTCTGTGCTGTGACCTCACCTGGAGCACCGCGTCCAGATGGGGAGTGCTCAGCACAGGAGAGACATGGAGCTGTTGGAGTGCATCCAGAGGAGAGCCAGAAAAATGATCCCAGGGATGGAACACATCCCTGCAAGGACAGGCTGAGAGCTGGGGCTGTGCAGCAAGGAGAGGAAAACGCTGTGGGGAGGGCTAAGGGCGGCCTTCAGTATCTAAAGGGGCTGTAAGAAAGGGGACAGAGTCTTTAGCAGGGGTTGTTGTGACAGGACAAGAGGAGAAATTTAGATTGGATACAAGGAGAAAAGTTTGTACAATAAGGGCGGTGAGGCACTGGCACAGGTTGCCCAGAGGTTTGGTGGGTGCCCCATCCCTGCAGACAGCCAAGGTCAGGCTGGAGAGGTTCTGAGCACTGATGGAGCTGTGGGTGTTGGCTTCAAGAGTCCCTTTCAAATCAAATGATTCCATGCTTTTGCCTGTCACTGTCAGGCTTGCAGGCTTTGTGTTTTCTGCTTCTGGGCCTTTTTGTGGTTGTGGGATCATTCATGGGAATCCCCATTTGTCATTCCTGATATCCTCTGATAGGCACTCATCATGGAGTCACGGACCTGCTCAGTGAGCTTGGGAACATCATCTGAGCTCAGACCAACTGTCTCCACTGCTGGTAAGATCTGGATGGTGCTCGTCCCTGGAAGAGCAAGACAGGAGGGTCAGGGAAGGGGAGTGTTGTAAGTGTTGCATACAAGATAAAGCAGAGCAACCGGTGCAAGCCAAGGAACAAGACAGAAATAGGTGCAAGACATTATTTCACACACCAACAGCTGTGTAGCAACCCAGATGCACATAGCAAAAACCCAAACCAGACTTTCCCTGTCCATAGAGACCACCATGCACAAATGTCTGACTACATCCAATGCAAAAAAACAAAAACAAAAACAAAAACAAACCAACATGTGGAATGGTGGAAAGAACTCATCCATCATATGGTAGCCCTAGACCTCAGAGTCTGTCTGAGCAAAGAGAATGAGAGGTCTGTAGCACAATGCATGCAAACTGGTCATGCTCTGATCTATGTGTACTGAATTCAGCAGAGTTCTTTCTTTTAGAAATGGGATGAGAGAAACCATTCCAGAAATCCTTGGTTTGCTGAGATATATCATACCTCTTTCAGGAGGCACGGACTGTTGCAAACAGAAAAATTAAACTAGGGAGTTTTCCTCACACTCTTCTGTTCCTGTACCCAGGGGCCCTTGTTCTGGCCAGCGGAGACAAGATGCCACCTGCCAGATACCTCAACATCTGGGGGGCGCCTGCATTGCTTTTCAACACCTTTGCATGCCTTTACATGTATGCTAGGAAATAAGATCCAGAAGTGTTGCTGGCAGAGCCTTGCAAAGGTGGTGGACTGAAGCATGCAGAAGAGCTTCCCAAAAGAGGAGGGCATAAACCCACGCCACACATTAAACATCTGGAACCCCTGCTCGTGCTCCCATCAAACTGCCAGCGGGGGAATGCTTCCAGGACTGAAAGGTTCCTGCATGGCCAGCAGGGGACAGAATAGGCCCAGTGAGAGAAAGTTGAGTAGAAACAGATAATGGAGTGTTTGACTGTCTTGGAGATGTCTGCCTTCAGGGAAGTGACTGCAGAGGTTCAAATGATGACAGGAATGAGAATTTCAGCTGCAAGTCCTGCTCCTAGGATAAAGCATGTGCTGGCCTAAGGGAGGATAGGAAGTTGCAGAAGCCCATTTTGGATTGGGATCAGGGAAGAAAGGGGCAGAACAAAGTGGGCTGTTTTTCTCTGTAGGAAAATGAAAGACTTTTTTTCTACCTTTTCTCTCTGAAGCCCAAGATTCTGCCCCCACATAAGCACATGGTTATCTCCCACCGACATCAGGGCTCCTCCGAGGCCATGCAAGCACCCAGCCTTAGGTGATCCTCACCTGATGTGAATCTCTTCTCCTTCTGGCTGTAGAAGCTGTTGTAGGAAGAGATCACTACAGGAACAATGGGGATCTGTGGGGAAGCAGTCAGCAGTGAGTGAATCTATCAATCGCCCTGTACCACCTGCAGGTATGGATGGGTGGGTGCTCAGTCCAAAGGGAAGTGAGGGACCAGGTTGTTGGTGGCCCAACTGCATCCCAAAGGGCAGGAGGAAGGCGGCTCTCACCTGGGCTCTCACGGCCAGCTGGAAGGCCCCACGTTTGAAGGGCAGCATGGAGCCACTGTGATTGCGAGTTCCTTCAGGGAAGATCAAGACATGGAACTGCAGGAGGGGAGAAGACACTGAGATGGAGGCATCTCCAGTTGCTATTCTAAATCACTGCACAGACATGGAATCATAGAATCATTAAGATTGGAAAAGACTCCTAAGATCATCCATTCCAACTGTCCACCAACACTGCCCACTAAACCACAAACGTAAGTACCTCATCTACATGTTTCTTGAACACTTCCAGGGATGGTGACTCCACCACATATTCTCCTGGGACTGATCAGTTTGCTCCTGACTATGCAGAGGCGTTCACTTCCCCTGCCTCAAGCACTTTCTGGGCCCAAAGCACAGCTAACCCACCAGAGGTTCTGCTCAGTGCACAGTCCAAAGAACTGGATCACCTTCCATCCACATCAAGATTAACATTTTCCAGTGCCTCCTGCTCTCCACAAGAAGTCTCGTCCACTCACGTTATCTTTGCGCATGGCGTGTGCCACCTCTGTCAAGATAGCAATGGACTCTTCCTTCCTCTTACGGTCAATGAAAATTATGCCTGAAAGCCAGCATGCGAGGCCAAAAGTGCCCATGTACAGTATTTCCTTCTTTGCAATGGGCACACAGCGATCTGGTAATATCTGCATCATCACTGGAGGGGAAGAACAAGGACAGAAAAAGTTTTCGTCTACATGGAGGTTCCCTCCAGCCCTCTGCTCTGGGGAACGTCATGCTTGCAGCTCCCACCCCATGACAAGATGTTGGAAAAGGGACTTTGGGCATCTGTAGACCAACCTCCCACTCAGAGCTTTTGCCAACACTGAATAACTGTGACACCACTGTGGTCTGCTGGTGTTCTCATCCCAGTTCTATCGGGAAGGGTGAGTGAAGTTTCCTTAGCACTGCTATGCTCTCCTGCCTCAGAACACACCCAGGGCTTGGGGCTAAGTGGGAAGGACTTCCTAGCAGCCTGTGCTATTAGGGATTTCATAACTATGTAGCAAGGAGGAGAAGGCAGGATGGGGCTCCCCACATACCCATAATGTCCAGTGAGTTCTGGTGATTCAACACGAGCACACAAGGCTTCTTAGTGCTGAGGTTCTCCTCGCCCTTCACCGCTATCTTGATACCAAGGAAATATTTGGCTGAAAGAATCGCCACACGCAGAATCCTGGAAAAGGGGAACAGATGTGAGCTAAAGAGAAACTAAAATTGAGCAAAGGAACAAAACACCGATCTTCCAGACCAGCCCACCTCACAGACTTCTCCTGAGAAGCAGCTTGTTTGTCCATAGTCCCAGATTTGACTTCTCTGTCTAGGAGAAAAGCAACTACAATGGCTCTTCAGCTGCCACTGGAGAAAACAAATGCAGCTGGCAGGTTTTCTTTGGGATAGGTTAGACCAATGGCCTAGCAACTCCAAATCCCACAGTCATGTGGATCAGCTGAATACCAGCCCATATGTATTTGAATATAATGCCCAAATTCATAGTACACCTGTTTGTACTCTACTCCACTGTAAACTTGCTGAGCTGTGTGTATGGGCTGCAGCAAACCTGCCATGCACCTGACACCCCTATTACCCAAATAGTGGGAAGAGAGGTGATTTTGCCACTGGAGGACAGGTAGACATTGAAAAAATAAAAAAAAGTCAGGCACAAAAGTCAAGAACTGAAGAAAATTTCTTAAGGTGAAAAACTGAGGTTCAGAGAGGAGAGAGAATTGGGACCTTGCTCTGCAGCTTACACCTTCTGGCGGAGTGAATCCTGCCTCTGTACTGTCTCAGGAGGCCACAAAGGGCTGGGCTGTTGTGTGGCAGAGCTGACCCCAGCTCCCACCTAACCCACCTCCCCAAATGTGCACTGCTGCTGTGCATTCCAGCGTGCAACTAATTTCTCCCCACTGCAGCACAGCTCCCAGGACCCTCCCATGCAAAGTGCAAGCTTCTTCCATCAATGCCCACAGCACAAAGAGGTCACAGCCAACTTACTTCATATTTTCGCAGCTGCGGCCACGAGGAAGAGCAATGATAATAACCAGAAAGCTGATGGTGAAGATCCACACCTGGTAGAAGGTCATCGTGCAGAAGTATCTGAATGTAGGATACAGCCAGCAAAGGATTAGAACTGCAATGAGCAGGAAAGTAAATGGGTAGTGAAGAAGCAATAGCTCCATCCTTCAGCCCAGGGTCAACCAGAGGAGCGTTGCACAGTGCAGTCAATGAGCAACTGCCACCCGATGTTGTGGAGCAGAGTTTAGATTCTTCTGATCATTATGTGTAGGTGGTGCAATGATGGAATGAGACTCAGGAGAGACGCTTCTGCAAGGCTGGAGCTCGTAGTGAATATAACCGCAGAAAGCAGGTTTAGCAAGGGAGCTGCAGAGCTGCTGTGTGTGGGAGCTGGCTGGCAAGCAGAGGCAAACATGCAATAGCAAGGCTCTGTAATGTGGAGGGTGCGTACGTGGCTGTGGGCTGGCTGAACACCGTATGCTTGGGGACACAGCCCTCCTTTAGGATGGATATTAGGAAAAACTTATCTGAAAGAATGGTGATGCAGAGGCACAGTTGCCCAGGGAGGCGGTGGGGTCATTGTCCATAGGGGTGTTCCAGAGCCCTGGGGAGGTGGCAGTGAGGGAGCTGGGCAGTGGGCAGCATTGGTTGTAGGTGGGCAGTTGGACTGGATGATCTGAGAGGTCTTTTCCAACCTCAATGATTCTGTGATTTTGTGATTCTATAGGGCAGGAGTCCTCTGTCACAAGCGTGCTTCTGTGTCAAGCTCTGTGCATGAGAACTGTGAGCTGACTGCAAGAGGTCCTGGAAACCAGAAATCGGTATTATGGAAAAAAGTAAGAGAAAAGCAGTGATCACAGCTGACAGCCCCTGCCCCACACATATGGGCATTAGAGGCACTGTGCTCAGCAATTGGACATTCTCAGCTGGAGTGGGAAAAGTGACAAAAAATGACACGTGTCTAGACAGTGAGATAAACAAAGTGACATTTCCATGGCCAGAGGCAGGCGTGTCTTCAGACAGCATCTCCATATGTGAAGAGGTAAATCAGGGTATTGCAAGTAGAACCTGAGAGTGTGCTGACAGTGTTTCAGCTCCTAAAGAGTGAGCGTGAAAAGGATCTGTGCAATGGGACTGAAGAATAAAATGAACAATGGTAAATTCCAAACAGTACCGAGATCTACAGATTCTCAAAGGACCTTCAGGGGACCCATAAAACCATAGCAGATGTCACCAAAGCCTAAAGAACAAAATCAAACCCCTGAGAACAGTAAAATGGAGAAGCAGCAACTCACAAAGAGAGGAAAGGCATAACAGCGAGGCACTGGTTGTGCTCCTTGTTCCCTGGGCTTACCCAGCAATCTTGCTTTTCATGGGAAAACTGGAGATAAGTGACTGCTCAAGGATTTTTGGTAACCACAGGAGAGGCAGCCAAAGCAAAGCATTTCAGCCACAGCCTCCTCACTGCTCTGTTTGCTGTTGCAGAGTTGGGCACCCAGGACACAATTACGTACCTAATGCCTATTAACTTTGCCCCGTCCCGTACTAACCCTACCCAGATCAGTGATGGTCTTTCACACTTTGCTGGAGACTGATTTGATGAGCAGTTTTTCCATCCTGATCTACTAGGAGACAGGTTCCTGTGATGTAATGCCTGTGAAAGGGACCAGTCTCAAAAACATGCCAGATATGCAAGAGTGTGCAAGGCTGCTGGGTGTACGAGGCATTCAGCAGTTGGTAATGTCGCTTACGAGTATGGGAAAATGCAAGATGTAATAAAAGTGATGCCATTCCTAACTCACAGTGAAGGGATAATCAGTTCACTTTGCACTCCAAACCCACTGATACTGAAATCCTCTGGTATAATTTTATTCTGTTGCAAGGATCTGCTGGATCAAGACCCATCACACTCCCATTCCAGAAGGTCTTGCATAACCTTCCACGTGTTTTCAGAAATGACAGCTCTAATGAAGCTCCTGACCTTCAGACTAAACATACCTGTGTTCAGCTGACTCCCATTTCCCCCTGGGTCTTTGAAACCTCTTCAGAGAAATTTAAACTCATCTTACGTAGGGGGTGGGGGGTCTTGATTGTACTAAGAGCTTTCATCAAGAAGCTTCATCAAGAGCTTTCATCAAGAAGACTCTGACTCACAACTCTGCTAAGCCAAACCCTGGTCAGAAGATGATGTCTAATGTAATGCAAAAAGATTAAGAAAATTAACTTGTTCACAGCAAGCACATGGAATCATAGAATCACAGAATCATTAAGGTGGGAAAAGACCTCTAAGGTCATCCAGTCCAACCATCCACCAGCACAGCCCACCGACTGTGTCCCTAAGTACTACATCTGCCCTTTCCCTGAACACCTCCAGGGTGACTCCATCATGTCCCTGGGCAGCCTGTGCCAATGCATCACCACTTTTTTGGAGGAGTTTTCCCTAACGTTGAACCTGGACCTCTGCTGGCACAACCTGAGGCCGTTCCCTCTCATCCTAGCACTAGTTACCCACTATCTTTAAAGAAGTCAAAGATCACAGTTGACTTCTAAGTGAGAAAGAATTATTTCAAGATGAAATTGGAGGATTGGATACTGGAATGGGGGCAGTTCCCACTGGAAAGTGCTGGCACAAATTTCTCCACTGGAACAGATTGGAACAAGTGATCGAAAGGCCAAGTATTGGGACTGCTCACTGCCAGGGACCACATCAGTCCTCAAAAAAGGAGAGTGGTAGTAAAGGGAACTCAGCTATACAGACACCAACGTTGATGTTAAAAGCTTTGAAAGGATTGCAGGATAAATATATTAGAGAAGGGAGACAAGGAAGCTGTATTTGTCATGCTCCAGCTCCATGATGAAACCACATATAACCCAGTTGTACAAGGCACAGGTAAGCTTTTTGTTTTTACTTATGAGTGAACAAATAGCTGGAACTTCCCATTAATGATAGAAAGAGAAGTGTTTCCACAAGGGAATGTATGCTGATTCATGAAGCTTCCTCTGGCATCTGTGACAGAAGAACTTGTGCTCTTGGACTTTCCTTCCTGGAGGGAGCGCACAGGACAGCAGAGAGAAGTGGAAAATAGAGCAGGTTATCACTGTAAATCAAAGAATTGTGTAGAAAAATTTACGACCTTGGAGATCTGCAGTCCAACCAACTGCCTGGGGCATGGTGAATCCCAACACCACACAGATTTGCTTACAGACTTTTCCAGGTGAGGCTGGAATAACTCCAAGAATGGAGTCCCAACAACTCTTTAGTCCTTGTCTCAGCATCGCACTGGGGGAAGAATGGGGAAGAATGCTTTTTCTCTGTCTAGTGGGAATCTCCTGCAAAGCCCTGATCCTGTGGTGCATGCAGTTCGTGCATTTGATAGGCAGTTTGATCAGCCTAAGAAGTTTGATTCAGTTTTCCACATTTCGGCTTTGCACTCAGATGACATTCTGAAAGCAAGTCCTCTGTGCACACAGAAGGATCGTGGGTGATTTTGAGCCAATTATTTGGACTCAGTGATCTTTGAGGGTCTCTTCTGATTGAACTGTTCTATTTCATCTTCATTAAGTTAATTGCTGAAGTCGAAAGGTAACGAATGCATCCTCTTACCAGTACTAGAAAACAAAAGTCAGAGACTGAGACAAACATCCAATGCAGTCAGGCATCTCACACCCATCGCCTCTGTTGAATCCTTCAGCACAAGGAATTTTATCACGGAGTGTGCTTCAACACACTGCCAGGGCATGTTTGCATGTGAGAACCCTTCTGTCTTGAAGGCATGCCCAGGCTGATGCTTGTCAGCCTACACACCGGGGGCATTTTGCTACCTTCATGTCTTGGCCCAGCGCTGGGAGAAACTGTTATCCACACCTCTTCTTTGTCTCTGAGGATCTCACACATCTCTTCCAGTTTTAAAAGAGATAAAGAGGATGCTATTGCCAAATGGTTTTTGGAATGAATACTAAGTCCAGCAAGAAATACCATCCTTCATTACAAATACACGGATTCTGCACTTGAATCTGCTTTGCCCAATATTCCCAAATGAAACTTACCACCCTCCTCCACTTGTCTCCCATTACTGCACCTCCTACAAAGTGCGTGGAGCATTTTGGTCTCAGCTCAAAGCTCAAACTGGTGGAATGATAGTCTAAGACAGCAAGTTACAGATGAAAGAGAAAGAAGTTTTGAACCCCTTAGTAAAAGGAATTGAGGGGAGAAATTAGATTGTCTCCTTCTGTCTTGTACTTCAGCCTGCCTATATTTTCTCTGGAAACTAAATTGTGTACTCCTCAGAAAACAATAAAAATAAAAAAAAAAAAAGGAAAGAAAGCAAATCTATTCCAATGCCCCAACACCTTTTTATGTAGATTGGAACCTTTGTTCAAAACCTGTCATTTGACAGCAAGGCTTCCCAGAACCCAATGCATGTGTCGCTGCCTAAGCACACAGTTGCTTTGGTTTGGTTTGTGATACTGAGCAGTTTGCACAGATCTGGAATATCTTTTCATGCAGTTTCCTTATCAGTGGATTCCATCTCTTTGGAAAGACTTCATGCAAACATGGAGCAAGCATAGACACAGAAAAATAAACAATTAAAAGAATCCATCTCAGTATCTTCCCATATCCAGGCTTCTGGGGACTCCTCAGCATTCTCAGTATCAGTCACCAGACGCTTCTTCTGCAGGACAAGAAAACCCATGTGTTAACAAAGCAGAAAAGGACATGCCATAGCTGTCTTTGTGATTCGTTTCCATGGGTTAAGCTGGAAAGGAGGGCCCAACAGCTCAGGCATTGCCTTTGCAGTGAGCAGCAGATTGCTCTGGACATCCCTCCCTGCCGACAGCTGCCTGCAGCCCAACAAGCCTTTCTTCTTCTGGCACTATGAGGGTGGCATTTATGGAAGCACCTTGTCACACCTTCAATCTGATGATGCCACAGCCCTGTGGAGAACGTGACTTAACATCCTCAGGGGAAGTGGGGGCAGAGCTCAGCTGGGATTGTCTGCGCTGTTAATGATTGCAGAGATTTGTACTTGCTCGCAGGCAGGAACTGTCTGCTCTTTGAGGCTGACACCTTGCTCGGTACTTTCCTCCATCCACTTTGACCTCCAGGCTCTGAGGTCCAGCTTTGGGATCCTGCTGCAGTTCACAAAGGAGTCAGGATATCTGT